TTCATTGACTAAGAACTTATACTTTCAAAATTATATCAAAAATTCAAAAACTTAACCTTAGGTTAAGTTTTCGATGATGATGCTACAACATAGTCCAAGTCTGTTGACCTGAAATGACCTTTGACCTTGACTTTGTGATCTGAAATTCTACTCACATGATTGGGGATACTTGATTACCCTATAGTCAAAGTTTCATTGACTAAGAACTTATACTTTAAAAATTATATCAAAAATTCAAAAACTTAAAGGTAAAGACCAGTTATGGTCATGCGATTGCATTGTGAAAGAAACGTTGTGGAATCGATCAGAAAAGGTTGATCATCTAGCATCTAGCATCTGCAAGGTTCTGGTAAATCAATAATGATAAATCAAAATCGATTTTAGTAACTGTCCACCAAAAAATATATTCTAAATTTATTCGATTTTGAGTTTAGGGTTGTAAGTTCGGGGCAGCGCGGCGTTTGGAGGGCATGGTGCTATGGGGTGGCGAGCATTGTTCACAAACAATGTTCGCCGGCCCAGTGCGATGTGTTTTTTCCGAACGTGGCGCTTCCAGTGTTATTGCATGAATGAGTACACGCAAGTAACCCCTCATTTTATTTGTTTTGAAATCCCCAGCGACCCACATTTAGGTTGTATAGCTGTGTATTGTACACATTTCTTTCTTGGGCACGTCTTTCTTTTTTCTTTCTGTCCGTTGCTTGTTAAATTGAGTATAAATATGTACCATTTAAATGTGTAGATCTTATAAAAAAAACACACACACACACACAGGATGAATAATGACTGCTTATTTTGTGTTCTCTTGAATATGTAATAACACTTTGAAATCGCTTCATTCATGTAAGTATTATTTGTATCTTTTGTAAGACGTAATCAGGTTATTTTCAAACATGATTTTGTTTATAGAAGGGTTATGTCCAATCTTGTCATTTTTGTATTTGAACTGATGTATGTTTAGATTTACTTATAATAGTTATAATTAATCGAGAGTCTTGCTTGAGGACACCGCGGTCATGATACTTGTTGATAATTTTCTCAATATTGTAATTATGTATTTTTTATTTTTGGATATAGAATTATGTTTTTTTTATATGCTCACTTTCTTGTCACTGCACGCTCACCCTTCACTCCTTCACTCTTGCGCGCTCCATGTTAATATGTCACTCAAATTAAATGAATTCTGATGTTTTAATAGATGACCAAAATTTAGTTGAACACAATAACATTCATGATCAATCTACCTTAAGACCAACTAATAACATTAGTAATCAATTTAGTCTATTTCATATGAATGCTCGAAGTTTGAATAAAAATTCTCTTCCTTTTGAAATATTAATGGACTCTATTAATAATTTTCCCTTTTCGGCCATTGGTATCACAGAAACGTGGTTACATGAAAATTCACCCAAAATGTTTAATCTTTCTAATTATGAAATGATACGTAAAGACCGTAAGAATGGTAGAGGAGGAGGCGTTGCCATATACATAAATAATACATTTATATTCAAAATTCGGACTGATATAGAAATTGAAGGTTCCGGAAGTTTATTTATAGAAGTTAGTATGGGTAAAAATAAAAATATGATAATAGGAACTATTTATAGACCACCAACTAGTGATGTAGATACGTTCATAAATCAAATAGATTCCGTTTTGAATAAGATATCGCAGGAAAATAAACATATATATTTAATGGGTGATTATAATTTAGACTTAGTTAATAAAACAAACAATAATATATTGAAATTTTATAATACTATGTTATTATATTCTTGTTATCCCCATATTTCTAAACCTACTAGAATTGATAATGTAACAATAAGTGAAACATTGATTGATAATATATTCTCAAATGTCATACATGTCAGAACATTTAAATGGTGTTCTGTACTCAGATATATCAGATCATCTACCCATTTTTGTTATATGCTATAAAGTCATTAGTGAGAAAACTAGAAAAAAAAATTCGTTAAAAAGAGGAAAGAAACAGAACAAACTATTGATTCTTTAATTTCTGATTTGTCCAAAGAACAATGGCGCGAGATATTTTCGGTTGGAGATGCTAATTTATCATATCAAAACTTTTTGCATAAACTCTCTTTTATATAGATAAGAATATGCCATTTATTAAAAAAAAAAGATAATATAAGTATAAAACAGCCATGGATTACTCGGGGGTTAATGAAATCAATTTGAACTCGCAATCGTTTGTATAAAATATCATTGCGTAAACCAACTGCTCAGAATAAAGATAGATATAAGCATTATAGAAATAGATTAACAACTTTAATTCTTGTATCACGTAAACGGTATTATTCAAATAAAATAGAATCTAATCAAGGGAATGTAAAGGTATTATGGCAAATTATATACCTCACTTAAGTAATCCAGCAATCTGATTGGTCGAAATTGCATTCATAAACTTAAACTGTTCCCGAAAATTCCCGGTAACCATGGTCAAAAAACAGTTCAAAATCCCAATAACCATGGTTATTGGGAAAATAGGTCAGTCTCCATGGTTACCCTATAGGTTTACATGTTAAAAAATGGTCTGAGCGATCGAGGATACCGTACGTATGCGAAGAATTGGTCGGTAATTTCAATACAATTGAATCTCGATCGATCTTACCGACAATTTTATCTTGCATTGTTGACATGAAGACGAAAATAAACTTCCAAAAACAAAAAAAAAACATCTGCCGATAGATCTTGATCTAAGTTCGTGCCGATATGCATTGTAAAAGTAAAAGAAGGGCCCGTTTAATGGAGCAGCGGCGAAGCATCGACCACGCGAAGCCGTTTTCAATTCATTTTAATGTATATATTAAAAAAAACTACTGAGCATGGTGACATAGCGCGCTGGCCGAGCGGTTTGAGGCGCTGACTTTAGTAACATCACCTTTGGTACGCAAGAGTTCGAATCCTATCTTCGGCAAAAGTTTTTTTTTTTTTTTTTTTTTTTTTTGGCATATAAAAGTATTAATGACTGCTTTAATATTCGAGAAATAGTTGTTTTTATACGCTCTCGGGAAGGTTACAATTGGGCTATTCCCCTCGGCACGCCTCGGGTAATAGCACAATTCTAACCTTCCCTTGAGCGTATAAAAACAACTATTTCTCTCAAAGCAGTCATTAATACTATACTATTAATGATCTCTTAAAAACTAAAAAGAAAGTATGATCTGATATAATAGTTGAAAGTGGTAATGAAATCACGGACCCTCATTCAATTGCTACTGCTTTCAATAACTATTTTGTTAATATAGTTCCACGTTTAGCCTCGACAATACACTCAAATGAAAACTTTAAGGATTATTTATTTGATGCTAATGAAAATTCATTATTTTTTATTCCAGTGAATGAAAATGAAATATTAGAGATAGTTCGATCGTTTAAGATGAGTAGATCATGCGGTTATGATGGAATAAGTGTGTATTTATTAAAGAAAATGATTTATTGCTTGGCCTCTCCCCTAGTTCATAATTGTAATTTATCACTTTCGACAGGCATTTTCCCGGACTCCTTAAAGATAGCCAAAGTGATTCCTATTCATAAAAAAGATGATTTAACTCAAATAAAAAATTATCGCCCTATCTCGCTATTGGCAATTGCCGGTCATTTCCAAGATTTTAGAAAAAATTGTTTATAAACGCCTTTATTCTTTTTTACAAGAAAATAATACTCTTATTTGCAATCAGTTTGGATTCCGAAAAGGTTTTTCTACTGATTATGCTTTGATACAATCTTGTGATAAAATAACTCAAACACTTAATAATAAGGAACATATATAATTGGGGTTTTTATGGACCTGTCAAAAGCTTTTGACACCATGAATTATAACATTTTGTTGCAAAAACTTACTCATTATGGTATACGAGGCACAGCCTTAAACTTGTTTAAGAATTATTTAGTTAATCGAAAGCAATTTGTTTCATTTCAGTCAGTAAATTACCCTAACTTAAATGTGTAATGTGGTGTTCCACAAGGATCAATTTTAGGCCCCCTTCTTTTTCTTATTTATATTAATGACATAGTAAAGTCATCACCACTTCTTACTTACGTGCTTTTCGCAGATGACACTAACATATTTTGTTCTCATAAATGCTTGAATACTCTAATTTATACTCTCAATAATGAATTAGTTAAAATCTGAACATGGTTTAAATGCAATAAATTGTCCCTTAATTTAGATAAAACATGTTTTATAAATTTTTGTGCTTCCCAAACACACTTTGATCAGGTTATAAACATTGTTATTGATGATATTTCTATAGTGGAAAGGAAATCGACAACATTTTTCGGTATAACTTTGGATTCAAAGCTTACTTGGAATAATCATGTAAATAATATTACAACATCAATTTCAAGGGCAGTTGGGGTAATTGGTAAAATGAGGGATCTTGTACCCGAGAAAATACTTTATACATTATATAATGTGTAGTGACTTGACCTGCATTTGTAGATATTGTCTTGTCTTTATTGTGTTGCTTGAAGTCTAGCCTTTTATTCCATTGTCATTCATTTCTTTAGTGACACCTGTTACACTACTAGAGTGCCACACATACTTCCTCTGGCAAGCACATTCCACACCCTATGGGTTGGGATGTGCAACCACCTAGTGGTGTAGCTTATACAGGCACATTACACTTGCTTGCTTTATTTGCCACACCTATTATCATCACTTCTCCTGAGCTGTTCATATAGAGCACACATATTCTAGAGAGTCGATCTACAGCAAAGCTAATTCAGCTTCATCTTAATTCTTGTCCTATTTCTTCGCTTGTTTCTCTACTTGGTTCTGAGGCCTTATTACTTTATAGAGATTATAAGTTTCTTCTTCTTTACTTAATTCGCGAAGAAGCGGCATTACTTTGTACATGGTCTTACATATTCTTTCTACGGGTGCTGTGCAATATTTGAACTACTACTTGTGATATAATATATGTTCCAAGTATCTGTACTCAACAGGTGTTTCTACGAGACAAGGTAGGAAAGAAATCTATTTCTATTTCTTTTATTTAGGTGATTAAATTCCCTAAACTGGTGACCCCGACGTGATCCAGATTTTTTTTCTTCTGTTGATCTAATCTACCTTGTCATCGTCATTTTCATGCCTGATACCGATAGCAATGCATTACCTAGTGAGGCTTCTGAGCCATCCCCTCAAGTCTCATATGTTAGTTTAAAGCTTCCACCATTTTGGGCACATGATCCTGATATTTGGTTTGCTCAGGTTGAGGCTCAGTTTCAAACTAGAGGTGTATCACTTGAGTCTACAAAGTTTGCTTATGTTGTCGCCTCATTACAACCAGAGGTAGCTCTAGAGGTGCGCGATATTTTAATTGCCCCTCCCCAAACAGAGCCGTACAAGATACTAAAAGCAGCACTGGTTAAGCGAACTTCTGTCTCTGAGCAAAAGCGTCTAAACAAATTGCTGACGAGTGAAGAGTTAGGCGATAGGTCGCTCTCCCAACTCCTTGGGAGAATGCAACAATTATTAGGCTCTAGTACTTTGGAAACTAGTATACTGAAGCAATTATTTTTGCAACGCCTGCCAACCAATGTACAGCTGATTCTTGCTTCCACAAGCGATGATGTTAGCTTGGTTGAGCTGGCGGCATTAGCCGACAAAATTGTTGAAGTTGCTGGTCCGCCTACTATTTCTCATGTCTTACCTAAAGAGGCGCCAGCGCAGACTTACGCTTGCGCCACTCCCAATGACTCTGGAGAAGTACATCGACTTTCTACCCAGGTAGCTCAACTGGCTGCTCAGGTTCAAGCCTTGACTTGCTCTCTACAAGAGGACCGCAGAAGTCGCAGTCGACAGAGAGGTCCGAAGAATTCCGGCCATCGCCAATCAGCTTCCCGTAGCCCGAGTCGGCATCAACAACATGCTGGGGCTGAATGTTGGTACCACTGAAAGCATGGCAAACTAGCCCAGAAATGCATAAGTCCTTGCTCATACTCAGCAGGACAAAGCCGCCCTGGATATGTCCAGGGAAACGGCCCGCCAAGGAATAGCGGCGACTAATTCACTTGGCACCATTCAACCCAGTCGCCTTTTCTTTGTTCATGATAAACAATCAGGCACGCGTTTTCTTGTTGATACTGGGGCCGAAGTTAATATTTTCCCTCAATCCATGTTAGGAAAATCGGCAATGGTAAGTGCAACAAATATCCAACTTCAAGCTGTTAACAAGTCACCCATTCAGACTTTTGGCCAGAGATCTTTCACTCTTGATCTTGGGTTGTGGCGAGTTTTTCGTTGGATTTTTGTTGTCACGGACATACCTACACCTATCTTGGGAGCCGATTTCCTTGATAATTATGGACTATTAGTCGACATCAAACATCGACGGCTGATAGACACCACCACCACTCTTACAGTACAGGGAGTTGGTACATACACAGGCATCATTAGCCCGGTGTATGTCAAGCAAGATACTTTGGAGCATTTCCACTCCCTTCTTTGTGAGTATCCTGACATCACCCGGCCAGTATATAAGCACTCAGAAGTCAAGCATACAACCACCCACCATATCCAAACTCGAGGCCCACCTGCTTCAGCCCGCCCTCGTCGGCTTGCTCCGGATCGGCAGCAGATTGCCAAGGCAGAGTTTGAACACATGCTTGAACTCGGCATTATCAGACAATCTGATAGCAACTGGTCAAGTCCCTTGCACATGGTTCCGAAGAAGACACCAGGGGACTGGCGACCTTGTGGAGATTATCGCATGCTTAATGCTCGTACTATTCCTGATAGATACCCTATTCCTCATTTGCAAGATTTCTCTGCGTCACTTAGTGGCAAGACAATCTTTTCAAAGATTGATCTCATCAGGGCATATCATCAGATCCCAGTCGAGCCTAGCGATATCCACAAGACAGCTATAACCACGCCTTTTGGATTATTTGAGTTTGTAAGGATGCTGTTTGGTCTCCGCAATGCAGCTCAGACATTCCAAAGATTGATGGATGATGTCACTCGCGGTCTTCCTTTCGTCTATGTTTATCTCGACGATATTCTGGTTGCTAGTACTACCAAAGACGAACACGAGACACATCTCCGTCTACTCTTTGACCGCCTGCAAGAGTATGGAAACATTCTCAACCCCGCTAAGTGTCAGTTCGGAGTACCCTTACTGTCCTTTCTAGGGCATAAAGTTGACTCAGAAGGAATACAGCCGCTTAGTGACAAGGTGAAGATCATCCATGATTTTCTGATACCTACATCACTTACCAAACTACGAGAGTTCCTCGGGCTGATCAATTTCTACAGACGGTTCATTCCGCGGTGTGCAGAAGTACTCCAACCTCTCACAGATCTGTTGAAAAATAGAACGAAAAAGAACCAACCAATCACCCTAGGTGAACAAGAACTTTCTGCTTTCAAACAGGCTAAAGATCAGTTAGCTAACGCTGCAGTTTTAGTTCATCCTAGAATTGATGTTCCTCTATGCCTGTTGGTTGATGCATCTGATGTGGGAGTTGGAGGAACTATCCAACAGCTGGTAGATGGTGTTTGGCAACCATTGGCAACCATTTCTTTTCTAAGAGACTACAGCCTGCCGAGAATAAGTACAGCACTTTCGGTCGGGAACTGTTAGCAGCCTACCTCGGTGTAAAGCACTTTCACCATCTACTTGAAGGTCACACATTTACCATCTACACAGATCACAAACCTCTCACCCATGCTTTGAATTCAAAGCCTGACCGACACTCACCTCGTGAAATACGCCAGCTTGATTTCATATCCCAATACACATCTGAGATACACCACATAGCAGGAAGGGGGAACACAGCCGCAGACGCTCTCTCCCGTCTGTGTATCGACAGAGTTGATTCATCCTCGGTCATAGATTTTGCAGCCATTGCAAAAGATCAAGAGGATGATGGTGAGGTACAAGACTCCTCGCTTCAACTCAAGTCTATATCGCTTCCTGGTTCTCTTACTACCATGCTATGTGATGTTTCGACAGGTATTGCTAGACCCCTTGTTCCAGTCAAACACAGACGAGCTATTTTTGACGCCCTCCACAGACTTTCCCATCCTGGGATCAAGGCCACTCAAAAGCTTGTTACGGAACGTTTCGTTTGGCCTTGTATCAATCATTATATCAGGAAATGGGCCAGAACATGTCTTGAATGCCAGGGATGTAAAGTGCATAAAAATGCATTAGCGCAGGGAGGTGAAAGAAAAGGAGGCGAAACTCTTGTAATTTATTCAAACGCATTCTTGAGTTCTAAAGCGTAACAATGGGATGTGTAACATTCCACTTGGCTTTGAAGTTCCATGCTCCAAACCGCGCTTCCACTGCGAGGACTTTCGGAAGCCAGGCACCAGTTTTACATTTATTACAAAATATTAAATTACCGGCGAAATTTCAGTGTAAATCAAAAACTTTATATGGGGATTTTATTGGGAATAGTGCATCAAACAAATTTTCAAATTTAGAACTCCGTCCTTCCTTTAATTTGTGTGCCAGAGTTAGTAAAAGAAAAATTACATCCTGTCAAAAACTCAATATTTTAGGATGATGCGCTAATTTATGCATGCTTTAATGTCCCGTTATTTGATCCATGATTTACAATCTTCAATAACATTAAGTTTGCTAATGCGTGTTTTCGCGTGTTTTTTGTATTTTTCAAGTTTAAAAAAGGATGAAAATACACAAGTTTGTGTTCGCTTGTTCTACTCTTTACACATTCAACAATGGATGAGAAATCATTGGAAGGGACAGCGAACAGTTGCAGTGATACCATTTTCTGATGTAGGGATTCTAACTCCTGAAATTTCATGCGCTCTTTTATCTCACCACCTGGTCAACAGTTGCAGATTAGCGCATAACTTTTCGGCGGCTTGGAGCATGGGGTCAAAGGAGAGCGGCTTGATTCCAGTCCTTCTCTATCACGTCCCTGATTAGTGTTACCTTATTGTATATACTGTAATGTAGTTTGGGGGAACTGTAGTATAACTAAGATTAATATAATTTTTCTCTTGCAAAAAAGAGCACTTAGGATTTGTACTCATTCTAATTACTTAGCTCATACAAATCCGTTATTTTATAGATTAAACATTTTAAAAGTGAGTGATTTGCACTTATATCAAACAGCAATCTGTATGTTTAAATACACACAAAATTCACTTCCTCTTTTTCATGACGTATTTATTCCTAATTCCCATGTTCACTCATATCCAACGCGTAATTGTACTGATTTTCATTTACACAATCCTAAAACTTTGTTAGCGCATAAGTCTATAAGATATCACGGTCCAGACATTTGGAATGCACTCCCTAGACATGTTAAACAGTGTACATTTCTCTATTCATTTAAAGCTACACTAAAAAAAAACATTATTTCACAATATAATGTATAAAGATTTAAAAAAAAAAAAAAAATTAAAAGCGTTCTTTGTAAAACTTTAGAAACTACATTAAATTTTGGTCTGACGTTACATAGTAATACTGATGATTCAACATATTGGCGCATGAGGACACTTGCACTTGCACACACACACCGCTCGCACCCTTGTTTTTGTTTAGTTTCTCTCTTATCTCTGTCATAAACGTATAATTAGTAGCCATATAAATATGAGATTCATATGCTAATTTTATAATTATTTATATTGAATACAACTGTTTATATTCACATTTAATTGTAATATATATCATTTGAGTATCATGGCCCCTCTTCTTGTTAATTTGCCAAAATTTCACAACTCATTTTTATCTTAGCTCGGTTGACCGTCTACTCAAGCTTTTGCTTATAACGGCGACCTTCTGCTTTCTTTATACACGCAATGGCCCAACGTATAGGTTTACTCTTACTCATGTATTATACATTTGTTTCTATATTTTGTATATTGTTTGTATACCTTATGTTTTATATAATTATCCATATTTGTTGTATAACTGATTTGTTTGATTGCAGAAAATAAAGTCTTTGAAATGAAATGGAATTATCAAAATGATAAGAAATTTGGCCCATTCTTCGTAAAGTTACAAGCACTATACACAGAAAGATGTATATGGGACTACCCTATATCTCTCACAGACCATGAGAGAAACAAATTTACCAAATATATGAATTAGTAGGCAGTTTCCCAGCAAATTTTTTATCATCATGTATTAGTTAAAACACATTCTTTCACATGATTGGTAATGAGAGCTCCCATTTCATTTTTTGAAATTGGGGCGTTTCCAATACTGGTCTTTACCTTTAACCTTAGGTTAAGTTTTTGATGTTGACGCCGCCGCCGTCACCGGAAAAGCGGCGCCTATGTCTCACTTTTTGCTACGCAGGCGAGACAAAAACTGCACATGTATTATATAGTTGATAATTACACTGTGCATATAGTCACTCATGTTATTACATACTCGAAGCATGTTCAGCAATAACTGTCTAAGTATAAATCCAAGCTGTTGGCTTGAACAATAGGACTTACGGAAACCTGGTTATCCAGTGATTCAAACCTACCATTTGCATTCGATGGTTATGATCTTGTTGTCAATAATTTTTCGTTTCACACAGTTACGACTATTCAATTCTAAATGAAATTAATGTAATGAACGAAACACTGGAGTCTCTTTTTATCGAAATCAATGTTCCGGATACTAAAAATATAATCATGGGTATTATGTATAGACCTCCAAGTCCAAATTTAAATGATTTCATAGTGTACCTTACAGATTTACTAAAGAATCCACTTTTTATAAACAAAGATGTTTTCATAATGGGAGATTTTAATATTGATATTTTAAAGCATAATAACAACAATATATCCCATGAATTTTTTGAAATATTTTTGACTGCCTCGTTTTTGCCTTTGATATCGAAACCCACCTGTATAGCAAATCACTCCGCCACCCTTATTTATAATGTTTTTTGCAATACTCTTCCTACCCCAGACTCTTCTGTAATTCTATCTGATATAACGGATCATTTTCCTATTATGTCACATTTTACCCTTAAGCACTCATTAGTTAATCATCACAGACCATCAAGACGCAGACCTAACCATGAAAACATTGCCATTCTTGGCGCATCTTTAGACTCTGGTTACTGGTCGTGTGTTTACGATAATAATGACGTAAATTTATCTTTTAATAATTTCCTTAACATATTTCATGATCAATTAGATATTCTGTTCACATTCCTAAAGTTAAAGACAAAGGAACTACCTACAAAAAATCACCCAGACTTCCATGGATTTCTAAATCACTTTTACGTTCAATTAACAGAAAAAATAACTTATATTATAAATGTAAAATGAAAGGTACTGAACAGGCAAAAGCTAGATACAACAGTTATAAAAATATTTTAACTGAAACAATACGATTAGCAAAAAAAAACTACTTTACGAACCAGTTAACTTTATATAAGAACGATATTCAAAACACATGGAAGATTTTAAAACAAGCAATGAATTTATCCAATAACAAATTAACAATAACTAAAATTAGGTATAATGATGATATTGTCGAAGATCCTGAAAACATAGCCAATACTTTCAACAACTTTTTTTCCTCTATCGGGACAAACTTGGCTGAAGGTATTCCTCCTTCAGCCAAACATTTCTCTGATTACTTAGGCACATCAAACCCATACATGCCAACATTTGAAAATCAGAAATCTGTACAAATTATGCTATTTTCAAAAAAAAAGAGGAACAATCCTAACTCTCCTATTCAATACTACAGACAAATTTGTACAGGAAGAGGAACACCTGCATTAAAATGATAATTATCTTCTCCCAAAAAGAGGAATGTTCCTCTTTAATCTGAACAGTTGGCATGTATGCAAACCCCAATACTATTTTTCTCACTCCTATAGTTAAAGAAGATATCATTGATATTGTATCTAATTTGAATAACAAAAAGAGTCCCGGCTATGACGACATTAATAATTTTATTCTAAAAGGTGTAATATCTTCAATTGTAAATCCTTTAGTACACATTCTTAATCTATCGTTACTTAATGGACAAGTCCCAGATAATATGAAAATCGCAAAAGTCATACCCCTGTACAAAAAAGGTGATAAGTTGAATGTCAGTAATTATCGACCAATCTCTTTATCATCCTCCTTGTCGAAAATTCTAGAAAAAGTTGTTTATCGTAGAACTGTTTACTTTTTAAAAACTCATAGTATTTTTTCCAACTTTCAGTTTGGATTTAGAGAAAAACATAATACTGAACATGCCTTATTGAATTTTATTGACAAAGTAGCGCATGCTTTAGACAATTCTTCTCACCTGGTTGGCATCTTCCTGGACTTCTCCAAGGCCTTCGACACCATCAATCATGACATCTTATTATTCAAACTTTCTCATTATGGGGTGTGTGGAAAGGCCTTGGAGTGGTTCAGGAGTTACTTATCCAATAGACGACAATATGTATTCTTGAATGATCATACTTCCAATATGCAAAACGTAAATTGTGGAGTACCGCAGGGAAGTTTGTTGGGCCCTTTATTGTTTATTATTTATATTAATGACTTTTGTAAATCATCCAATGTCCTTTCATTTATACTTTTTGCTGACGATTCTAATTTATTTTATTCCCATAGAAATCCAAATTCCCTAGTCAATGTTGTAAATTCTGAACTTGAAAAAGTCACCCAATGGATAAAAGCAAACAAACTATCCCTTAACCTCCAAAAAACCAAATATATGTTATTAAGTAATTCTATTGACACACTGCCCAAGAATATCATTTTTGACGATACCCCCTTGGAAGTTGTTTCATTCATTAATTTTTTAGGCATTACTGTTAGATAACAAACTTTCGTGGAAATACCATATAGATAATACATGCAAGATCATTTCACGGAATATTGGCATAATAAATAAACTTAAATTTCATTTTCCGACATCATCCCTACTCATGCTTTATTCATCTTTAATTTTACCATACCTGAATTATGGAATACTTACTTGGGGCAACACGCAGCAAACTCTATTAAATAGACTGTTATTATTACAAAAGAAGTCTCTCTGTATTATTTACCCTTCTGCTCCACTCTCACACACAGACCCGTTATTTGGTAATGGCAGACTATTAAAAACAAATGACCTGTATCTACTTCACTTAGGACAATTTATGTATAAGTATTCAAAAAAGACCCTTCCACATATATTTGATGCCATGTTCCCCCTAAATCGGTCATCTCATGATAACCCAACTAGATGGTCAAACGAGTTTCACCTTCCACTCTTTAGAACTTTATTAGTGAAGAAATTTTTTTATGCATGATGGTCCTATATTTTGGAATTCTCTAAGTGAAAGTATTAAAAATAGTCCATTCCTAAATTCTTTCAAGAAAAATCTAAAAACATTTTTGCTCAAATCTTATAGTAATATACAAGAATAATCTGATAACAGTTGGAAATCATCTTAATTTTTCATTTAGGTCTTCATCATCTGCTCGATTAATTTAATATTTATTTGGTCTTATGATCTTACCTTCCCAAAATTAACATTATAACTTACTTTTTCCGGTCATGATTTGTCCTGCTTCTTCCTTCCCCCTTTTCCCCTTTCCTTCTTATCTGTTTTACTTCTCCTTGTAGTACATGTTTCGTGTTTGTAAATTGTGTGTTGTTTTGAAATATTGTCTTGTGTTTTCTAAGTCTTCGTAGGCAAAATTTGAAACATTTTTATTTTTATTTTTTTCTGGGGGATCCACAACCTACAAGCACTGCTTTTTAGTGGATCCCCCCCCCCCCCCCCCCCATTTCCTCAGAAATTCAGAAATTCTTGTAGTAATTTTATTATGTGCAAAGTTTATTTGTATAGTTTCTTGAAAAAATGAATTATGTATGAAATCAAATGTAATATCCTTGTTTACCTTTCTGTTGGAAATGAAATAAATATAAATATGAATACGAAAGTAGAAATATATCACTGGTCTGGTTTGGAGTGAAGCTTGAAGGGCCCAACACAGCATTACACAGTCAGGCATGCATCCGACTACACATAGTAGTCTATCCACATTGCATGGCCTTTGGTGGTCATCTTGGATCCAGTTCAAGGTAACAAATTACGTTTTAAAATAACACTGGGTGGTGTCTTTAAGACCAGGAACTAGTTACTTTGCTCCGAGAATGAGAAAAACCAAGAATTTTCAAAGTCTATTGCCCAGACAATTTTGTTGAAGTCTGCTCCATGCACATGGGCCACCTCCTCCTTTATTAGGGACTTTTAGATTTGCATGGACTGATACGTGTGAAGTCCATTCAAGGCAGTGCATTAAAAGGACGTCGATCGTAGCAATATATGTTGTCGTTGTGCAAATCTAAAAGTCCCTATTGATGAAGTGTACTCATCCCTCACCCAAGCATCAATCCATTCCAGTTACATCAAATCTATAACACTACAGTATATAAGGTCAAATTTAAATCTAAAGATTCCAAACTTCTGATAACCATTAGTTTTTGATCTACAGGTTTGTACCATTGGCATTATAGTACATGTATAGTCATTTATTGGAAATAAAATTGCAAAAGAAAGTAATTCAAATTCAGTTGTTAGGGCATCATAAACATGTCCTTCATAACATGCACAAAGTTTTAAGACATCCGAAGGATGGAAAGTAAAAAAGTACCCTAAATCAGTGATAATTATTAACAGATAACTAAATTGGCCAACTTCGTTGCAGTTTGACATGCTCTGATGCACATTTTTTGTTGCATGCTAGCCTAAACGACTTTACACAATCTATGTTTATATATACATCAATGACTCTGTGCAATAGCTTACATGCCTTCTGATGAAAGCAAATAAATTACATTAAAAAACATAGTAAGAGATGTATAAACACAAGATGGAGAAAGAGAATTGATTTTATTAAGAAATCATTTCAATGTAAAGCATCATCATTCCTTACTTTGCGATGCATGTATATGAAAGGTGAAAATATCTTCATATCAATGGGTAATAAATAAATTAGGAAGAGTTCACTCACAGTTGCTTGAGGCTTATGTCCATGCATGACTGATGATATGGTTTTCTTCAGAGTCCCAGTCTGAGCAGCTGCAGGGGGGGGGGGGGGGGGGGGAAGGGGGGTTAAAAGGATCCAGAACAAATTAAAATATAATAATTGTAACATTTATTCGATCAATATCTAGTGTGAATGTCATACAAAATCTGAATTTGTACGAGTCATTGGTGGTTACAGATACATGTAGTTACTATGCACAATACCAGGAACTCCAGGCATTGTACAGGTGAAAACATAACCAGCTGGCCCTGTGCAGTTATGGGGCACAAAAAAATTACTGCGGAATGTTCTTAAAATAGATGTTCATTGCTTTTTAAAAACTAACTTTATTTTCATTATTGCAAAGATGAAACTTTGATTTGACAAGGTTATCAAAATTCAATGCTTGGAAACATTCAAAGTAATGATAATTATAAATTACAAAACGCTTAAATACAGCCCCGGCATAGCACCTGAAGAGCTCTCCGAACGCTGCCGAGATGTGTGAGATCACAGGATGGACATGATTTGCACAAGCAGACGATGCCCTATGATATCTCACACATTTTCAGTGCCTGTTTTTTCATCTTCTCTTGAGTTCTTTCTCTTACTTTACTACGTCAGGCTAAATGTATAATCTATTGCCTCACTCTAAACCCGGGGCATGGTTTTAATTTGATGACAAATGCAGGAATACAAAAATAAAGTAATCTGTCGCTTGTAAACAAAATAAGACGCCATTGTATATTCAGCTGCACACACCACAGTATCTTCAGCGTTTCAAGAGATAACAAATGCCGTCCTTATATCAATCCGGGGGGTTTTTCAATTTGAAAGTCTGGTTTCTTTGATTGTTAATTAACCCCTATCCTGTGTATTTACAAACAAAAGATTTTAGTTATCAGTATCAGTTTCATATCCCCTTTTGAATGGTTTGAAATGCCATCACATTTATATACACTAAACTCATTATAATTTGAGAAATAATAGCTTTGCAATCATGTTCATTCTTTATGGGATGTCGTCTGCTTGGGCAGTATTGGTCCATTATGTGACGTCATTAAAACATCGTTATTTTTCTGGCGAATCCCTCGTATATCCCAGCTGCTATGGAAGAGGTTGTATTTGAATTTTTATTAATCACCCGATATGTAGTTGACCTAAAACTTGTACGACAGTCATCTGTTAGCTTACCAGTTTCTAGTGATACATTAGTTGACATATTTGTGATTTTATTTGAATTTCCACTTTAAACACTGAAGTAAAGCGTTCCCTCAAACCATTGATAATTGAATTCTTCCACTCCAATAGGCTTAATACAGGGACCACCTTGTACAACCGAAGGTAGGGGATTGATTTAACGTTTCCAAGATTTACAACAAAATTAAACCGGACTAATATTTCTCACCTACAGCAGCAGCTGTCTTGGACGTTGGTATATCAGTGCAATCACCAAGTCCAAAGATATTGGGGTACTTGATGTGTTGACAGGTAGTCTTGTTGACAGTCAGAAAGCCAGTTTCATCAACCAGTGGGCTAGCCTTGAGCACATCTGGAGGTCCCATGGGAGGAGGAACATGGATCATCTCATACTAGAAAAGTATTTTACAAAGCACAGGAATGTCATATGCTTCATTCATACTAAATGTTTCACATTACAGACTTGGCATGTCATCTAACAGACAATCGTGTACATGACATTATTTTTGAAGAGCCATTATAAATGTTTGTATTGTTTTCACTATCCAATTTACTAGAAATTTCCCATCCAAGGAACATCTTGGCTTATCAATCAAATTTGAAAATTGTTTGTACATTATGAATATGCAAGGTGTTTTCTACAGATACCCATTTTTATAATGCTTCAACAGATAAATCTAAACTGTAATGAATGGTTGAAGAATTGCTCTTTTATTTCTTCATTGCAGCAGAAAAATGGCTGTGTTTATTAAAATGCTTGTATATTACTTTCAAGCTTGCCAATTGTCATAAAGTAAAGAAACACACAGGATGCAGGACTTACAGGGAAAGTTAAGATTTCACCATCCTCAATTTGGAAGTCTGCCTCTCTCTTTTCGTGTCTGATCTCGACCAGTGTGTGTTTGTAGTGCACCTTGATGTCTCTCTCTTCACAAATCTTTCTCAGACTTGCAGCATACTTGGGTGGACCAAATATGACAGCCTGAGGAGTGATGTACATCACTTCTGCTTGATCCCGTTTCCCATTCTGAAAGAGGTTCAGTCATTGAGTAAATCTTGTGCAGTGACAGATATTTGTGGCAGCAGAGATTGAGCTATGAAGAAGTATAATTCTCATGGAAGTCTGAATTTTTGGACAGATAATCCAAATAGAGCTTTAATGTTTGCCCTCGATATCAGCATCTGATATCAATATAATATTGACTGGCCTTCAAGGGAATTCCCCCCTGATATCAAATTGGTTTTAATAAAAGCAGAAAAACAACAGAAACAAATTAGTGAAAGTTTGAACAAAATCAAATTAGAAATAGGAAAGTTATGAATCTATCATGCGAGCTCCTCTCCAATTTGCTCTGTACAGAAAATTTTAGAAACTTTCATTTTCTTAGTTATTGATGACAAAATATATTTGTTTCATACAAGAATTGTATAAAAACATATTTGCAACAGTTATATTTAAGTTGAATGTATGATTTAATATTTTCTTAATTAAAAAAAGGGAGATTTTTTAAGTTTATAAGTACAGGGCAAAATGGGAGGGGACCTTGCAACATATGTCACAGAGTTGCAAATTTATGTTTGATTGATTGCACCTTCAAAAATGCATAACTTTTAAAATTTTTATCGGTTTGTTTGGATGGGGGTGTGCTGCTCAAGCCTTGAAACCCTACATATTTTTAAAGGCATCATTTAACAATGTAAGATCTGAGATGCACGGTCCTACGTACTATCAGTGTCTGTGATATTGTGTAATATTGAAGCCCTAAAAAAAAATCGCACTTCAAAATGATCAAGAAGTGCCTCAAAAAAGTAAAAATCTTTGAGTGACTGGTTTTACCATAGTTGTTTTCCCCAAAAGACTGTGGTGGTATGAAAAATGTTTGGAAAACGTCATTAGGGGGGATTTTCCTCGAAATAATTAAGGCCCATTTTTCACAATTTTTGTGAACCCTGGAACCCTGAAAAACCATGAACATATTTACATCATTCATAACGTTTATACAAAACAGTTAAACAAGTAATACTCGTTTGCAAATTAAACATATATCATTAACCTAGTAAACAGTAATGTCAATAGGAAAATATTGATTAAGTCATGTGAACAAGACCCCTGTTACACATGCGTCAGCTTTTAAAGCAGGCCCCAGAGGCGGCCTCACGCCTGCAATTTGAAGCCGCCTCGAGATCATCAAACCCCTGTTACACATGATCTCGGGCCCGCAATTTTGCCTCTACACATAGGCCGTCCTCACGTCGCCTTTTCACGAGCTGACGTTGGGGCGGACTAAGGAAAGACAGAAAGAGAAAGTGATAAAATGATAAAAACAAAGAGAAGATGAAAGAAGGAAGAAACAAAGAATTACTGAAGGAAATACAGAAAGAGAGAGTGATAGAATGATAAAAAACAAAGAATAACTTAAGAGAAGGTGATAGAAGGAAGAAACAAGAATAACATAAGAAAAGACAGAAAGAGAAAGTGATAGAATGATAAAAACAAAGAATAACATAAGGAAAGACAGAAAGAGGGAGTGATAGAATGAAAAAAACAAAGAATAACATAAGGAAATACAGAAATAGAGAGTGATAGAATGATAAAAACAAAGAATAACATAAGGAAAGACAGAAAGAGAAAGTAATAGAATGATAAAAAGAAAAAATAACATGAGGAAAGACAGAAAGAGAGAGTGATAGAACGATAAAAACAAAGAATAACATAAGGAAATACAGAAAGAAAGAGTGATAGAATGATAAAAACAAAGAATAACTTAAGAGAAGGTGATAGAAGAAACAAAGAATAACATAAGGAAATACAGAAAGAGAGAGTGATAGAATGATAAAAAAGTTTTGATTTATTTATTTAATTCTAATCTTTTGACAGGGTAGCCCATTCACCAACAAGTAGTGGTCTTCCATGGAACCCTGAAAAACCATGAACATATTTACATCATTCATAACGTTTATACAAAACAGTTAAACAAGTAATACTCGTTTGCAAATTAAACATATATCATTAACCTAGTAAACAGTAATGTCAATAGGAAAATATTGATTAAGTCATGTGAACAAGACCCCTGTTACACATGCGTCAGCTTTTAAAGCAGGCCCCAGAGGCGGCCTCACGCCTGCAATTTGAAGCCGCCTCGAGATCATCAAACCCCTGTTACACATGATCTTGGGCCCGCAATTTTGCCTCTACACATAGGCCGTCCTCACGTCGCCTTTTCATGAGCTGACGTTGGGGCGGACTAAGGAAAGACAGAAAGAGAAAGTGATAAAATGATAAAAACAAAGAGAAGATGAAAGAAGGAAGAAACAAAGAATTACTTAAGGAAAGACAGAAAGAGAAAGTGGTAGAATGATAAAAACAAAGAATAACATAAGAGAAGATGAAAGAAGGAAGAAACAAAGAATTACTTAAGGAAAGACAGAAAGAGAAAGCAATAGAATGATAAAAACAAAGAATATAACATAAGGAAAGACAGAAAGAGAGAGTGATAGAATGTTAAAAACAAAGAATAACATAAGGAAATACAGAAAGAGAGAGTGATAGAATGATAAAAAACAAAGAATAACTTAAGAGAAGGTGATAGAAGGAAGAAACAAGAATAACATAAGAAAAGACAGAAAGAGAAAGTGATAGAATGATAAAAACAAAGAATAACATAAGGAAAGACAGAAAGAGGGAGTGATAGAATGAAAAAAACAAAGAATAACATAAGGAAATACAGAAATAGAGAGTGATAGAATGATAAAAACAAAGAATAACATAAGGAAAGACAGAAAGAGAAAGTGATAGAATGATGAAAAGAAAAAATAACATAAGGAAAGACAGAAAGAGAGAGTGATAGAATGATAAAAATAAAGAATAACATAAGGAAATACAGAAAGAAAGAGTGATAGAATGATAAAAACAAAGAATAACTTAAGAGAAGGTGATAGAAGAAACAAAGAATAACATAAGGAAATACAGAAAGAGAGAGTGATAGAATGATAAAAACAAAGAATAACATAAGGAAATACAGAAAGAAAGAGTGATAGAATGATAAAAACAAAGAATAACTTAAGAGAAGGTGATTGAAGGAAGAAACAAAGAATAACATAAGAAAAGACAGAAAGAGAAATTGATAGAATGATAAAAACAAAGAATAACATCAGGAAAGACAGAAAGAGGGAGTGATAGAATGATAAAAACAAAGAATAACATAAAGAAAGACAGAAAGAGAGAGTGATAGAATGATAAAAAAGTTTTGATTTATTTATTTATTTCTAATCTTTTGACAGGGTAGCCCATTCACCAACAAGTAGTGGTCTTCCATGGAACCCTGAAAAACCATGAACATATTTACATCATTCATAACGTTTATACAAAACAGTTAAACAAGTAATACTCGTTTGCAAATTAAACATATATCATTAACCTAGTAAACAGTAATGTCAATAGGAAAATATTGATTAAGTCATGTGAACAAGACCCCTGTTACACATGCGTCAGCTTTTAAAGCAGGCCCCAGAGGCGGCCTCACGCCTGCAATTTGAAGCCGCCTCGAGATCATCAAACCCCTGTTACACATGATCTCGGGCCCGCAATTTTGCCTCTACACATAGGCCGTCCTCACGTCGCCTTTTCACGAGCTGACGTTGGGGCGGACTAAGAAAAGACAGAAAGAGAAAGTGATAAAATGATAAAAACAAAGAGAAGATGAAAGAAGGAAGAAACAAAGAATTTCTGAAGGAAAGACAGAAAGAGAAAGTGGTAGAATGATAAAAACAAAGAATAACATAAGAGAAGATGAAAGAAGGAAGAAACAAAGAATTACTTAAGGAAAGACAGAAAGAGAAAGCAATAGAATGATAAAAACAAAGAATATAACATAAGGAAAGACAGAAAAAGGGGGTGATAGAATGATAAAAACAAAGAATAACATAAGGAAAGACAGAAAGAGAGAGTGATAGAATGTTAAAAACAAAGAATAACATAAGGAAATACAGAAAGAGAGAGTGATAGAATGATAAAAAACAAAGAATAACTTAAGAGAAGGTGATAGAAGGAAGAAACAAGAATAACATAAGAAAAGACAGAAAGAGAAAGTGATAGAATGATAAAAACAAAGAATAACATAAGGAAAGACAGAAAGAGGGAGTGATAGAATGAAAAAAACAAAGAATAACATAAGGAAATACAGAAATAGAGAGTGATAGAATGATAAAAACAAAGAATAACATAAGGAAAGACAGAAAGAGAAAGTAATAGAATGATAAAAAGAAAAAATAACATAAGGAAAGACAGAAAGAGAGAGTGATAGAATGATAAAAACAAAGAATTACATAAGGAAATACAGAAAGAAAGAGTGATAGAATGATAAAAACATAGAATAACTTAAGAGAAGGTGATAGAAGGAAGAAACAAAGAATAACATAAGGAAATACAGAAAGAGAGAGTGATAGAATGATAAAAACAAAGAATAACATAAGGAAATACAGAAAGAAAGAGTGATAGAATGATAAAAACAAAGAATAACTTAAGAGAAGGTGATAGAAGGAAGAAACAAAGAATAACATAAGAAAAGACAGAAAGAGAAATTGATAGAATGATAAAAACAAAGAATAACATTAGGAAAGACAGAAAGAGGGAGTGATAGAATGATAAAAACAAAGAATAACATAAAGAAAGACAGAAAGAGAGAGTGATAGAATGATAAAAAAGTTTTGATTTATTTATTTATTTCTAATCTTTTGACAGGGTAGCCCATTCACCAACAAGTAGTGGTCTTCCATGGAACCCTGAAAAACCATGAACATATTTACATCATTCATAACGTTTATACAAAACAGTTAAACAAGTAATACTCGTTTGCAAATTAAACATATATCATTAACCTAGTAAACAGTAATGTCAATAGGAAAATATTGATTAAGTCATGTGAACAAGACCCCTGTTACACATGCGTCAGCTTTTAAAGCAGGCCCCAGAGGCGGCCTCACGCCTGCAATTTGAAGCCGCCTCGAGATCATCAAACCCCTGTTACA